CACATATTTGCAGCTCGAGTAACTATGGGAAGGGCCATGCTTCACGGAGCACTGCATCAACAGAGTCTTGAGTCTGAGACTTGCCGCGGCCTTTGCCATATAACACAGTAATTACTAGATCAAATCTGTTCAAATTGAGGCAACGCTGTTCTGTGATCCCTCCTATACTAATCAGCACACTGAGGTATGGCTGTGCGACTATAAATTGCTGACTTAATTAAAACCAGGACCTCTCTGTCATCTAATTACAGGGAGAAAAGGTTATTGCTTCAATGCAATTTTCCAAATATGATTCCTTCACAGTTATTAAAGGCTCAGGCGTCGTTTATTGTTTCAGATTTTTCAATATGCAAATGGCCCTGATGACAGATGTAATGACTCGGGGAAAGCGCTTCATCTCGATAGTGGCCTGGCACAGTCATTTGTCTAAGATAAGTGGAGCGGACAGGAACTGGGAAATGTCATAGGAGGCATCCCATGATTGCCTCCACTTTACAGTTGTCATTAAACAGAGCAAAGGTTTCTTTTCTCCTATGTGGCAGCAATGAGAAGTTTATTAATCTATCCAGAATAGTATGGGCGGTGAGTTATTGTAAGTATGCGAATTCACAAGGGGGAGGGAAATTGTGGAGAGTAATTGTGTGATGAGAGACTCTATATTCCCTGTTATTGTTGAGTCAAATCTATATTCTACTTTAACTCCTCCACGAACCAACCTAAAACCAGACAGGAAATGATTGTGGAGAAGGTGACACAAAAGTCATATTGATTAAGAACAGCACAGGGAAGCCCCAAGAACACACCGCAAAGCCAAACAATTTGTTAAAAAGAATGGAGAAAACTTGGTGAAACTAAAATTGAGAAATAATGTCATTGTAGTTTCAAAGGTCACAACAACATTAAATGTACCTAATTCTCTCTCCTACAAAGATGATGTACGGGGGGAGGCCTGCTCTGTTACAATCAGCACACGGTTATATTATAAGCTTCATTGTTTGTTGGTCAGCCAGTGATTTGTTTTAGTCTAATCTGCTTTTTAGACTGTTAATGTCAATTAACAATTACTTTCATTATCGATTCATATTTTCTCAATAATTCAAATCATTGTTTGCTCTATAAAATGTCAGAAAAAAAAAGAAAATGCCTGTTATTATTTACCATAGCCCAAGGACTTGTATTCAAATGTCTTGTTCTATGAAGTGTTTTTCCTTCTGCTCTCTGGTTTAAAGCTGCAATGGAGCAGCTTGAAGCGAATCAGGAAGTTGCAGCTGACTGATAGCACAGAGCAAAGCACTAAAATGTACCTGAATTGGTCAGATGCCTGAGCAACAAACTCAGCTTACCATTCCATACCATTCTGGCTTTAACCACCCAAAACAGGGGTACATTTGTTAAAAAAAAAAAAGAGAGACTGGTTATTTTTCTACTAGGTATTGAATGAAACTTTGCTGGAATATTTACCCTCAGATTAGATGCATGTCTTTTTTGGTAAATACTTTGTGTACCACCACCAATAAGTAAAGTAAAAAAAAAAAAGAAGCTTTTTGGTAACAGTCATATTCACTTCAATAAATTAGTGTAACATCTCAGTTATTCATAAGCACTTAAATATTCACAAGTTCAGATGAATTTTTCATGCATTAACAAACAAGAGCTTTTGTTGCAAAAAAAAAAAAAAGAAAGAAGTAAATCAGATAAATACAGGTTGTGGCTGTGAGCGTGGGGCAGGAAAAGGCCAAAACAGAACTGTATATCGCGGACGCTAATGCTCTGTGTCTCCCACCATAGGGTTTTCTTAATTACATTAACCAAATGCCTTCTGCAGTGTGTGTAATCTCATGGTTAACTGAACACCCCTGTAGCTGCAACCCCCTCCCCTTTCTATTCCTCTGTGAAATATTCATGTTGAAAGCCACTCTTCCCAACTACTTTCTCTCTCCAACATGTTAATGTCTGCAGTTGTTCAGCCATGCTACAATTGTTTGAGATTAATCCTTACTTCCCAATAACCTTCAACACATAGGCTGTGCCTCAAAAGTATCTATTATCTGGGATAAAATGGTATACATTCTAATTCAAGTGAGTTACGCATGCTGAGGTTTAAACATCTATAATATTGCTCACAGAAAATATTATGTCTTCTTGTAGATCAAGCTTGAGAGATGCTTGTCTAATATCAATGCGTATTTAGTATTAATATAAACCAGACTATATAAAGTTTATGTTTATTTATACATATTTTTAGTAGATTTCAGAGATGCATCTCACTGGGAAAAACATTTGTATTTCTTCATGTCTGCACAACACACTGATTCAAATTGACCAGGCAGGACTAATTTAAATACATTAACTATTCATTAATAGAATAAAGAGGCTAGTTAGCCCCAGGGCCCCTTTATAATAATAAACTGGGGTGTACTATTTATGCAAAACAGCAAAGTGCCATGTGTTGGCTTATTATGCAACTGATGAATGGCAAAGTACACATTTCTCCTGCCCACGAAGAAGGATTAGGCACGGCAGTGTCAGCAACTTGTTTCCAGGGTACAGAGTCTGCTCTTCCATATTACAGCTAGTTAAGATGCATCTAAGTAATGTGATTCTTCTAGTCGTCATCATGTAGATATGATCGCACCCCCCTCCCCGTGCAAATTCTTTCGATGTCTTTCTTAAAACATGTCGCAAGCATTAAGTTAACAAAACAGGGACACCTCCACACCCTCACAGTAACACACGTACAACTGGACTAGAGCTACATGTAGTGTCGCTGACCCGTGCTTGTCTAGATTTAACAACAGGATGCACTGATACAACTTTCTCTCTCCCAATACCTCAACTCAAAGAATCTCCGTATGCTATGATCCGATACCAGTTTGTAAGCTTATTATGCTGGCTATGAGTTGTATGTAATGCTATTTTTTTGCTGTTAATATTAGCATTGTTGTTTGTTGAGAATGTGATGTCTATCAGTCACATCCTGCATCTTTGCATTTGTATCAGACTTGTCATGTGTTTTGGTGGCAGAGGATTGTTAAGGGCATCTGGGAACACCTGTGCCTGCTCTTCATTCTATAAAGCCCTGATAGCAGTCTGCCCCCTGGCTGCTGCAGCTCTCTGCTTCTCCCCTCTAGGGACCTGAATTGGTTTGGGTATGCTGCCTTGGATAGGTATTGTTTTTACGAACATTCCAACACACATGTACACAAACATCCATCACTTAACCACACACCACTGGTTTCACTGACGTTCACACTAATCATTTAAGTACATCTTTAGTTTGGCTGAATTTGGGTTGTTTTGTTTAAATAAAAGTATTTTCTTCAACTTGGTGCATCTCGCTTCTTTGTTGTGGCCCATGAGCTGGTGATAGACCAGTGGAACTGAGTCTTGGACTTTATTGACACTTTACGGGAGGATGCTTATATACAGGATTGGAGGCCTTTCTGTTGCCTCTAAACTGCTCAACATGGTCACGGCCAGATATAATTGGCCAACGTTGCTAACAGCGCCATCTATGGGAAAAGTGCCAACAGAGCTAACATTGTTTACCTGAGGGGCAACCAGAGGGTAGGTGCTATGCTTCCGCTTCAATGCAGCCTGTTGAGATAGCGTTACCAGCTATCACCCCCATATCAGAGCAGTGAAGAGAGGTCATGATCTAGCCAGTGGGACATGCTAACATGCATTAAAGGCACGCCTGGCTATGCCAACAAATCAAGGAGAAGCTCAGATAATACCACACAGACAGAGAGCCACTTCATTCTTTGCACAGACATTACTCCTTTGTATCTTTACATTAGTAATAGTTGTTTGCTGCTATATTATTGCTCTGAATCCTGTATAAAGGCTGTTTTCACAGCAGGCATTCTGAAATGTCATAGCAGGGTAAACACAGGTGTAATTAATACAATTAATTATGGTCCCATTCTATTTAGTGTCACCGCCATTCCAGTGAGCCAGGATGCACAATAGCAGGGCCCTGGCCCACCTTAATGGAACAGGGCCATAATTAATGTCATTAATTACACCTGTTTACCCTACAATGACATCAAAATGGCTACTGTGACAATGGCCTATAGCACCGTTTAAGCAAAAACAAAATGCATAACTCTTCCACCCTTGATAATCACTTCCCTACAGTCCCTAAATTTAAACACTACGGGTTAGCTACTTCTGTGGAACCAACTAAATCAGCAGCTATTATTATATATATATATATATATATATAAAATAACCAAGTTATATATGCTTAGATATTGGAATGATGAAAAAGCTTTTCCCCCCCCCCCCTAACAGCAACCAAACATTAAGCTTCATTTTCGCTCACTCTTTAGATGATGTAATGTGCTTTTAAGTAACGTTCGTATCATAGTATATCATTACCACTTATGTACTCAGTATTCACTTTATTTAGTAAAAAGAAAAGACACCTATGCTTCAACACACACAAACACTGTGACTGAACACACAGGACTTTCTTGGGGACACCTAAAATATTTTCCAGGTGCCCTGTTGGTTGTTGGTTCTAGTTTCAACAACTTCCAGCTTTGTTTGATACATTACAAACTACAGCAGGGAGAAGACTATACAGGGTTGCATATTTGTGGGTGGGGTTGCATAATGAAAGCAATGGGGGCTTGAATCCTGTTTATAAGTGCACACATACCTGTACGCTTGATACATTTACACACAGCCACACCGTCATGGAGGGTGCATACTGGTAAGAGTGGGAACACAACCATGATAAAGAAAGAAGCAGCTCTGCAGGATGCAAACCTGTAACAATGTCCTATTTTCCCTCCCTACTGGTTTCAAACTGACCCGTACTGACGCCACAGTGAACTGAGTTTGCGCGTTAGCGTGCAACGTGGCGCCTGAATCCCTCTCGTGTTACCGACATCCCGTGGACCAATGGCAGGGCTGCTGTCAGCGGCGAGGCTGGGCTTAGCCTGAAACGGACACTGTGATTGGGTGTACATAAGGCAGTAGAAAATCACAGTTTGGTTGCATCCCTTTTTTAGGAAAAGGGGGACCGGATTGCCTAAATTCGTTTGAGTGAGGTCCGTAGGTGTTCTCAGTGGACCTGTCTGCAGGTTTGGTTATTGCGCAGCTGCAACATTGTTGCACACCGCTGCTGAAGAGAGGAAACACGGTTGATTTGGGTCGGCACGAGCAGTGGAAGTGGCTACACAGCCGCTTGCTCGTTGTGGTGTCACGGGCCTGTTTAGAAACAACTGGGAACCTCCAGCTTCATCCCTGACTGATGGACGTCTTCAGCTTCATGTGCGCTGCGCTTCTGTGCACTGTTGTGGTGCACGGTAAGCCAACGTTAAGGAAAGACAGAGTTCTTCACGACACAGAATTGGGCAGGCCAGCCCTCGAAGAAAACAAAAGCTTCCAATACGACCATGAGGCCTTTCTTGGCAAAGAGGAGGCCAGGACATTTGACCAGCTCACTCCCGATGAGAGCAAGGACAGGCTTGGGTAAGGACATGTCAATACTCTGACACATGGACTGACCTTGATACCAGTCTTGGTGTTGTTATCACGGGCTCCTTTTGAGCTTTTGTTTTTGTAAATCACCAACTTTTCTCCTAACGGGGTCTGTTGCATGTAACCGTTCAGGATAAGGACATTCAAATTTAACATGAGCACAAGTGCCTGAGAAAGATGTGCATGCCAGCAAATCGACACGGCTATATAAAACGGTGCATTATTGCGCCACCAGCACTAGTCGCACACACTGCTATAGAGTTAATTGCTCAGCCGAAATCTTAATTATACATCGTCGTTAAAGAACCATTTGTAAGTGGTGAAGTTCGAGTACAGTCGTGTTACAGTACACCGTCTTCATGTAGAGCTGCTGTCACTTCCTGCAGTGTATAGGCCTGCACTTCATGTGCTACGTGGTTCTGTTTGTGTGCTTCAAAGTGAAGTGGGTTTTTTTTTTTGCCACTGCCTGGTTGACAAGTTGGCACCATGTAACACACGTTGGCTAAATGGGCTTACCCTCTAAAAACACAGCTTCCTGTGGTGTTGAGAGTGGGAGGACCCCTGTAACATCACAACGTGGCACACCAGGTCTAAGAATACCCCAGCTCCACTGCATTCTTCACTAATGGGGGTTTGCCTGCTTCTCCCTACAGGAGTAGTCTCATTGATGCCACGTCCCTTTATCTTAAAAGTGGTGCAACCAAATATGTATTTGTTTTGTCTCCTGACTGCTTGTAAGAATAATAGATCAGTGTTTTGAGGTCAGCCAGCACAAAGACTTGTTGTTCACTATCTTTTATTTTGGATTTTGGATCTTTGCCATCATGTTTGAGCATTGAAAGTATATCTGATAACTCTAACAAATGCTCCCTCTCTTTTATTCTCTTGCCTTCCAGTAAAATAGTGGACAGGATAGACAATGACGCGGATGGCTACATCACCACAGCTGAACTCAAGGCTTGGATAAAACGTGTCCAGAAGCGTTACGTTTATGAGAATGTGGCAAAGGTGTGGACGGACTATGATCTCAACAAAGACAACAAGATATCGTGGGATGAGTACAAGCAAGCCACGTACGGATACTACCTTGGTATGTGTGAGTTTTTTTGTTCACGCCACTTCAATTTGCTTTTAACGTACAGTATTAAAGTAGCTATTTATATGTGTGCCAGTAAGCTGATTTTAATTCCACCTCTTTAGCCAACCCGGAGGAGTTTGAGGAAGCAACAGACCAGTTTAGCTTCAAGAAGATGCTCCCTCGTGATGAGAGGAGGTTTAAAAGAGCTGATCTGGATGGGGACCTGGCAGCAGACCGAGAAGAGTTCACATCCTTCCTCCACCCTGAGGAGTTTGAACACATGAGGGATACTGTGGTTCTGGTAAGCTCTCTGTAACCACATGGTTATTATAAGTGTAATTAGAAAGGGGCATTAAGCACAGTGTTAGACATTCAGGTTTGCATGTTGGAAAAAATACAATTCTTTTGAATTTGAGTTATGTGATTTCCTCCACTAAGATATGTTCTTTAATTACAGGAACAGATTTGATTTTCTAATCCATGTCTTTTTATCTGATGGGCCACTTTGATAAATGTGCTACATTTGGATAACACCTTCATGAATATTTAACTGGGCCAGGAAATGATTGACTTTCTGTAATTTTTTTGGAACAGGTCCAGTGGGACGGACCGACTGTCCCATTTAAGACTCGATCTTTAAATATAAATTTGGCTTCATGGAACAGTTGCGTGGCAAATGTTAGCAGTGGATGCACTATGCTGCTCTGTTCATAAAAGTTGTACCACCCATTTGACAGATTTAATAATTCATCTCTCATTTTTGTGACATCATCAAATGTTACCAACTGTTCATCCAGTATGTTCACTGATTGTGGTGAATCTGGCTAAAGGTACAATATTAAGAGGTTAATGTAGTCATACGAGGAAAGGAAATAAAGAGACGCTTTAGAAAGGACATGACTGTAGGATACCAGGAAAGGTCACTAATGGAGCTTGTATTGCAGGAACACGAGGTCATCTCACTGAGTGCCAACTGTGCACCTACACACTCATTCACATAACGGAGGACTCTGTTCAAATGTTCGGCTTCACATCTACCTGCTGCGATCTGCTTTCAGAGGCCAGAGACCTCCACTGCATTACACTGATAGGTTTCTTTTCTTTTTCTTGTGTGGCCTCCGCAGTGTCCCAGAGGAACATCACGGTAGTTTGGAGTGGCGTATTCCATAAAGTCTTTGTATTGCTGCGTTTACATTGTCCCAGCAATGCTTTAGTTCAGTGCACCTCCTAAAAACATGTGTGGTTCGCCTTCATGTCGCCACAGAGCGTCCTACGTAGTTGTAGGTTGCTTACCGACCTGCTGCTTTTGATGCGGTGTTATGAAGAATCATAGATTCTTCCATCTAAAATTTCTTAATACTCAGGAGCTAGTGGTAGTAAATTGTGTGTGTATTAGTGCACCATTTAGATCAAACATTTTGGTATTTAACTCCTACTCTAAAGTTAGCTTTTCATGTACAGTGTTGCACTTCCTCTGCTTTCCCCAAAGACTTGCATATACTATGTCTTTCTTGCTGCTGTCATCACATAAAGGTCAAATGCATAGTAGAGCTGGATGTTATTTAAAATCTATATCACAAACACATTGTCACATTTGTCCCAGCAACCATAAATATGTTGAATACAACATTACATTTTATTCGTCAAGCTGGCTTACATTTATGTTTGTCCAGGTCAATTATTGTATGCCATGTGAAAGATCTCTTGCACTGTCAGAGGTTACAGAGGTCTATACTAGTCTATAGGTTTTTTTTATTTTCTATGAATATATCCTTTCTTGTTTACACGCAACCTTTCACAGGTTAAGCGGGTGTAGAAACTGGGTGAATGGAGGTTCTTGTTTATTATCAGTCAGCTATTAGACTACAGAAGCCACATGGCTTTTAATCATTCAGTATGTTTCAGCGAAGGCATCTCACCTGCAGGTGATGCATACAGTGATTTCAATCTGTGTAGCTGCGTGTGTGTTGTGCCAATATGCATTGCAATTAGTGTGTGTGTGTGTGTGTGGTTGTGAACTAATGATCAGCTCACACGGCAAGCCTTTAAGTAACCGTTCAGTCAACTTCACACTCTGTGAAATCCAGGATGTGAGAAAGAATCCCATCTACGAGGGCTTTAAAAGCCGGTGTTCGCTAAAGTGTAAATCATCTTTTAATGTGGCACTCATCAGCAGGGAAGCCTGTCCTTTGTTTGTTGTCGTGTCAGTCTGCCAGCCCAGCTGTAAGCTGACCCTCATACCTCCCCTCTTCTTGCCGGGGGCGACATGTTTTTCTTTTATTACTCAAAGTGAGAGTTCCACTAATGTTGACCCGTGTGCCTCCCTTTTATGCTATCATTAACGTATTCTATATGCAGGAAACCCTGGAGGACATTGACAAGAATGGAGACGGACACGTGGATGAAGATGAGTATATTGGTAAGTTTAAGCAGTACATTGAAATGAATGAGGATACATTAATTAAGCTTAATTAACCTTAGATAGCAATAGGCTACCTAATGCAATAAAACCACACCGTAAAAACCTGAGTGAAACAAAATGTTTCACTTCCATTGTCCTTTGCTGTTTCAGCCGACATGTTTGCCCATGAGGACGGGGGTCCGGAGCCGGACTGGATCAAGACCGAGAGGGAACAGTTTTCGGACTTCCGAGACTTGAACAAAGATGGCAAGATGGACCAGGACGAAATCCGCCACTGGATTATGCCACAAGACTACGACCATGCCCAGGCTGAGGCCAGACATCTGGTGTACGAGTCTGACCAGGACAAGGTGCGTAGTGTCATCTGCATCAACACGGTTAAGATCCATTTCCTGTCATCTTTTGTGTACGAGGTCTTTCAGTTTACACTACAATTCCACACGAATAAAAACTTTACGGGTGCAAACTTATATTTTATCATCATTGCTGTGGCCTTCAAATGAGAAAAAGAAAATGTTCTGTTTCGTATATATTTTGATACGGATATTGTTATAGTATAAGGCTTACTTATGTTGTAATTCCCCTGTCCTCCCTCCTCAGGACCAGATGCTGACCAAAGAGGAGATCCTTGAAAACTGGAACATGTTTGTGGGAAGCCAGGCCACAAACTACGGAGAGGACCTCACCAAGAACCACGATGAGCTCTGAGCACTCGGTGCCGTTTCTGACGTGTGTGTGAGGAGGGTTGGTGATCATCTTTGTCTTCAAAGACCAAATCAGACTTGTGCATCACCTCCCATCTCCGCGACCACCACTCCATCCTTTCCTCGTAGTAGTGGGACAGACGTCAGAGTGTTGGATCGTAAGTTAACACTGTAGATGCCAAACAAGAGGAGAGGTAAGGGTTGGTCGTACCACTAACACTATGGGTCCGTCTCGGTTCCGTTTCTGACATTCAGGAGCAAAGCCAGACACGGTGGACTTACTCTTTATCGACGGTGCCTTCCAGCCGCATCGCCGGCTTCACTGCCTCAGAGATCCGTGTAGATAGTCTTTAATAAATCCGTCGAAGCTCAATGCAGAGCTTTAGGTGAATTGTAATATACAAGAACAGTTAATGTGAAACTACAGCGCAAAACATTTATTCTGATTTTATTTATTTATCAAATCTCTTCTGTACCTCAAGTTTGAGAGGAATACAGTGATTGTTTTTATTCACAAATTATGTTTCTTTGTTTACAGTTTCTTGGCCACGTGGTTTTAAAGATTTGTTGTTTTTGGATAAGTTAAGTGCTAAGAAATGTTTATTAACTGACAATTAATGGCATGGTTTTTGCACGTGTTTGGATTACGTGTAGCCTGTGAAATATTTTATTTTTTTCATACTTAGTTTGAAATGTATTTATTGGTATACTTAGGCCAACAGTATGCTCCATGTTAAATTTCATTTTCACATTTGAGCTTCTTCCTTTTACAACTGTCTATTTTATTTAAGGTTGTTTTTTCAGTACTGTGTTGGTTTGAATACCAAAACTCCACCTGTTACATCACTCAAGATGTCATCTTTTTGTATTAGATGTACCAAATGTATTTACATGCATTTGGCATTGTACATACAGTATAAACATGATGTTTTGTAACATCAGAAAGTCCTCTTTTGTTTTTAAATTAAATGTTCTATATTTCTTAATGGGTACTTTGTATGGCAGGTGCATAGAACTATGCAACTCATGAAAAGATCCAGAAATTTGGTAATTTTAGTCAAATTAATGTCACTCAACCTTTGTTCTCCTTTTCATCTTTTTCTGTTGTGCTTTGTTGTCCCAAACCTCATTGCCTTCATAGTCCTCAACACACATGGGCACAAACACATCAATATGTCTCCTTTTCCACACTGCACATGCTCATGAATTGTGTCAAGATAAATAAAAGTATTTTGTGTTGAGCTGCAAAGCATAATCGTTGAATTTGTTATTATTTCCATTTTGAGTATTGCTGTTCAAGGATAGAAATACACTCTGCATGAATATGATAGCTCGCAGCTTAAAGGGATAATTCTGTATTTTGCTAAAAGCACCTACTTTCTTGCCTAGAGTTGGAAAAGAAGATCAATACGGATGACTGGTGTTGATCTCCTCACCTAACTCTGGGTAAGAAAGCAAAACAATTCCTTTAATCAACTGAATTATTGTACATTAGTGTATATATCGACTACCACCCTACAATGCAGGTAAAGTAATAGCGTAGCCTTATACTATACTTATCCGTTTCGTTATTTCGTCTTTTTCTCTTTTGGTTCTCTTGGCACCTGCTTGAAGTTTCACATGGGCATACTGTATCTCAAGGCACTATATCGGTATTGGGCCATTCAAATGTTCCAAGTCTGCTTTTGACTCATTGAACACTAAGAACAAGTGGATGCTGTTAACACTTCTCACGACCAATTGCAGTCTGCACACTCGCAGCAGAGACGGAGTTAAGCCGACTTGCTGTTGCTGCTGGCTGTTGCAGTAAAACTCTGAGCTGTAACTGAGAAAGCAGCAATGCCACCGAGCCTGTCCCCTCTGCTTGCTCATGTGGAACATATGGATATATGTGTGCCAGTTAGCAAGACCAGTCAAGCGGGACCAATGCGATAAAGCTCATTAGGAACAAGGGACAGAGCGATGTACGTGTGGGATGTGTTATTCTGTTGTGATGTAGAGCCTTCCTCAAACACTGTCAGACCATGACTGCAAGAAGACAGAAATGTCTGGAAAGCTATTCAGCTCTGACTTTAATATACATTTCTTTGACGTTCTCCAGGTTTAGATAACTTTTTAAGAGGACGACATGACGGTAACAATGTTTATTTCATATAAATTTGCAGAAATAGGTTACCATATTCTGGCGTGGCTCCACTTGTGCAGCTTCATCCAAGAATACCGATTTGTTTTCAGATTAATTCCTTCTTTGTTCATCTAACAAAACGCTCCGGGTCTGAGGAACATTCAAAGTGGAGGTGTTGCCTGTGGTGTTGAAGTTTTTTGTTACTTTTAGTCTTTATAATGTCTGTTGGATAATCTAATCTTTGCTCTGTTGCCTTTCTAAAGAGTGTGGGGTCAGTCTTGCATCATGCATTTGAATAATTGGGAGGCCTAAAACACTAAGTAGCTCAATGTACTTCCTCCAAATAGCATATGAGGTTTGTCATGTGTCAGGGTGCATCTGTAAGTCTGCGCCAGTGTGTGAGAGAAGGTGGATGAGTATTAGTGGTGCACGCAGATGTAAAAGAACCAAATGTGTGTTTGCCTGAGCAAGATGGGGGCACATGGGTTATCTGTGCAGCCTGCCTCGCGGTCATGTTTAACAGCCTGCCCCTCCTGTTTATGATAGGTTCCTAATCATTCACACTGGGGGAGTGTGTGTACAGTAATGCCTTCAGACAGCTCTCATATGAGTGTCTGTGTAGATCAACCCCTCTCCACTGATAATAATGAGCCCTCTGGGTGAGAACAGGGTGGAAACAGTGGGTGAGGAGGGTCATAAAGTGTAGAACATTAATGTCTAAGAAGCCCCCCCAGTATAATTTTCACTTAGTCTTGCATCTCCTTTTAAGAGCTTTTTTTTCACAGTACACTGCCATTTCCATATCAGCAATTAACAGCAGCAAACCCAAAATGACTACTACAGTTAAACTGCCTGCATAATAAACTATACAGTGCAACTCAACTCCCCTGCTCCTCTTGACTCTTGTCATCATGATGCCCTATTTTTAAGCTGCATAAATCCAAGTTCCCTCATTTTTTGTCTTTCATCTCTTGTGTTTGCTGCTTGTGCCCTGGGGAGTTCTATCGCCCACTGTGTTTGTAATGATCTTTGGGACATCTGAACCATCCCGTGCTGACGCTTTCATAACAGGCGTTCAATCCATTATATAATAACAAGCATAATGGCAAAACAATGATACAATCTCAGTTCATTATTGAGCGGTTTAGACAAAACATTTATTATTTACCAATCTGAATGGCTGAACTTTATGTTTCTTTGCCTTAACATGCTTTCCCATTGTCTTCTCGATGGAGGTCAGATCATAGTTTTTATTGCTGAAACTGCAGTGAATGAGCCAAGTGCATGCTTTGACCACACACAGAAGAACTTATATATAATATATAACATGTAGAATAATGTCATTTTTATTGCTATTATTGCTATCACCATCATGATTAGTTACTTGCTAATATGTATATATAGTTTAATGAGGTCCAATGGCATTGTTCTGTGAACTAAGCAGCTTTACCAATCTAAAGGGAGGACTTTTCTTCCTACAGCCAAAAAGGTATATGAAAGGCCGATGTTCTTCAAAGACACCAAACAATTATGTTTCAATGGTCAAAAATATTTTACATCACATTGCAATCAATGTATCTCCTGTTCCAGGCTTTTCAAGTAAAGTCTGCCACAAAATAGGTTCCCCTCCTAAAACACACCTACATTTTTAAGCATAATCATTCATCTAGAAAAGCCAATCACTAACAAGTGTAGCTCTTAAATAATCATAAGAGGAACAAAAAAACATTAAATGGAATAAATCTTACTTAAGTCACACAACGAACAGAGTATTTTGAGACTCAATAAGATTAAATGTGACCACTTAAGGGCAATAAATGAAGTATTCAGAATTGTATTCCTGACAGTGTGGAATAATCAGTCTTCAGACCATCATGTAGGAAATTAAAATGTATGGAAAATATATATATTTATATAACAATTTGAAAAATCCAAATCCAAATCACCCTCTTCCTGGTGTGTGGTGGAGGGGCTACATTTGGTGAACCTTTGACCTCAGCCTTTCTAAAATGCTGGCGACAGCCCTGATGCTACGCAGACCATTCCCTCTGTGTTTGTGCAAGTTGTGTGATTATGTGCGTGTCATGTTGAATGTAGGCTAATTCAGCGCCTCACATGTTTCTACTTCTGGACAATGAAGCTTGAAGGAATCCATCAATCTTTAATGACATGTCGGAGAAAGTCTTTATCCCTCCTCTGGCCCATCACGGGTCTCTACTCCTCCTAGTGGTGATGAAACAGAACAAGAGGCAACTTATTCTCGTTTTAACAACCGCACTTGTGCTCGTCTATCATCATGAGTTTTTATGTGCCCATCAACGTAGAGTAGATATGGAATCGGCCATTAATGACTACACAATTAGAGAGAAGGCTTTAAAGAGCAATACATTTCAATTTAGGAACGATAAACCTAGTGAGTTGGTAACTAATTGTAACTGCTCCTGGAGTAATGGGAGCCCTTTGGACTGAGGTCAGGATGACTCAAAATCAGTTTCAAACAGCTTTTACGCAGCTGCTTTCGCCGCTTTAGTTGCCCACTCATTCTGGCAGGTATATCTTATAATGATATATGCAGAGAGAAACTTTTCAAGTTCTAATTAAAAGACGGGCAAAGTGGCCCACAGTGTAGTAGTTTTGGAGTTCATGACAGTGAGGGTGGAGACAATGCTATCCAAGTGAGACTGATATCTTTGCAAAAAACGCCTCTCTCGCTCCATTTGTCAACATTTGCCTGTTTCCTTTCTCTGGTCGTCTCTCCCCATGTCCCAGCATCTGGATACCTTTGGGATGGAGGGGAGGAGAGGGGAGACGTGGCCTTGTTTCATCCCTCCCATCCCGCCGTTCCCCAGGGGGGCTTGGGTTGGTTTGTGATCTTGTGTCTCACATGATAGAGACACATCTAATCCTGTTAGGCGTTAATTTCTTCCAGCGGAATAGAGGAGACAGCAGGAGGGAGAAAAGAGGAGAAGATGAAAGACAGAATGGTTGAGGAGAGAGGGGAATATTTAAAAACACTCTATTTGCTGGCCCACATATTGGTTTTGGGTTAGAGTATATAGCACATACATGTGTGTGTGTTTGTGTTTGTGTGTACCCTCATGGGATCTTCCCGGCTGTTGCCTGCATATCTGACTCAAGGTGTTTTCCCCTTGCTGTCTTTATGTATCTGCTACATCTCTGCTCCCTGTGTGAGAAAGTTTACCCTCTAGGCCCCATCTGAGCTCCAGGCCCCCAAGGCTTCTGCATTCCCAAAGCTCCTACACACCGGAGCCCCTCAGGCTCCCTGCTTTACCACAGGGAATACCCCCAAGAACCCCTAGGCCCCTCAGACTGTGAGGAGCAGCAGCTCTGCACAAGAGAGCTAGCCCGAGGGGAGGGGGGATGCTGTCTGGGAATACAACTAACAACATGCTTCACTAAACATTTGAACTCTTCTTGACAGCGCCTCCTGTTGGTGTAGCACTGTTTTTGCATGCAGGCCTCCTTGTAGCCCCATTTAGTTTCCTCTCTGGGGCCTTGACCTTGTTAACAATCCCTTGGGGCTCATAGAGGCCTCCGCGTGCTACATGTGCATTGACCTTTCCTGCTCCCGGAGGTTAAATAATGTCTTTTTGACCCAAAGAAACACAGGCGGAGCTTTATAATATTGTTGGATGCACCTGGGACTTCCCTGAATGACTTATTGACAACAATATCACACCTTATCAGACCAAGTAAATTAAAAGACTCAATAGTATGGAGAAAGTCAAGGTTGGAACTTGAATGAACTGTGCTTGTTTCTTGGCTTTCATTGTGACAGTGAGGTTAAATCACACTTGCATTCAAAAAGAAAGCTTTTTATTGGGTTGCACGTGGATATGGAGGCTGTGAAGCTAGCAGGCCTGCTGTCCTACAGATGTCTTGGGCTGTGCGTTACCAGGTGTGCGTCACCTGAGATTACCCACGCTGACACCCCTTAAAGGCAAACAGCCAGAAGTACAGCTGAGGGGGCATCTGGTGGCATGTGTGCATGCAAGTGTGTATGCGTGTATATGTGTGTGTGTGTGTGTTCATGCATTCAGATTGGTGGTAACGTTTGGCAGAATGGGACTGAGTGCAGACATTTGTGGTGCTATCAGATACTTTCTCCC